ACCACACCCTTACTGCCTTTGTCACTGCCTTGTCTGAGATAGAGACTCGTCAGCGCACTATCGCTCAGTCGAGTGGTACTGTGGCAGTCCCCATATTTCAGGGCTGTGCGCCCTCCCAATGCACTTACGCTGACGTTTATGCCGCTGTCAGTGAGACAGCCGCTGTCGCTGAGATAGCCCCTGCCACTGAGACCGCCGCTGCGGCCTCAGCGCAGCCACGTCAGCGTAGGGGTCGTCGCCCCAATGGGGGGCGTGGGGGAGGTAAGGGTGGTGTGGGTGCTGGGGGTAGTGGAGTTGGGGGCGGGGACAGTGGTTCCGACGAGGGGACCGGGGCTGGTGCCTCGGATCAGCAGCAACAGCAGCATCCTTAGCACTAGAAGCAGCAGCAGCCGCCACAATAGCAGTCGCAGTAGCAGCAGCAGCAGCAGTCGTGGGGCCGCATCCCGCCGGGGTGGCCCGGTGCCTCTGGTGGTGGTGGCCGCGGTGGCGGCCCTCCCCGCTCGGCGTCAGGTGGCAGCTTCGGCGCTAGGGGTTGCCACTACCAGCTCCAGACCCGCCCCTTCTGCGACACTGTATGTGGTCATCCGCACACTGCCGCCCACTGTTTCCGTCGCCTCGACAAACTCTTTTGGCGCCGCTTTGACCCAGCGCCGGACCTCCCCAACTGGCCCAGTTTGGTTCGCCGCGGTGTGCCTGTTTTTGAGTTAGACATGGATCATATTTGTTCTGCTTTGCATTCCCTGTATGCCGATGCCTCTAGTTTGACCGGGTCTTATTACAGTACCATGTGCTGCCTAGTTTGAGCGTGCCTCCTGTGTGTAGTCTAGACTCCCCTGCTACGCCACGTGTAGGATCTTCTGCCTTATTTAGTCTATGCTCCACGCTCACTCCTCTGCCGGCTGCGGCTTCCGCTTCGCTCTCCTTTAGGCTTGACTCTAGCACGTCTGTCTGCTTCTTGCACGACCACACTACGCTCGCGCCGCTTGCCGCTCCTGCCGCTATCCCGCTTGCTGACCCCTCCTCCAGTCCTGTAGTTGCTCGTAGCTCCACCACCCTTCCCTATCCGGCGGTTCCCTCTGGCTCGCTTACGGGCCTGCACATCCCCTCGTTCTCCACGAACCTAGTTGGTGTCGGCTGTCTTCAGGACCTCGGCGTCACCACTACGTTCCCTGGACACAAGGGGTACGCAGTCTGTACCGAGGCCGCCTCACGTGCCCCTCTTGCGATGTTCCCCCGGGACTGGGTGTCTGGCCTGTTTATGCTAGACACTGTGTCCCCCCCATTGAGAGCGTCCCTCCCGGTGTCTGCGCCCACCTAGGTTGTTGTGGTTTGCTCGTGTCGGTCGCTTACTCACCCGTCGCTGCTATCGCACCACCGCCTAGGTCACCCTGCACTTCCGCGTCTACGTCACATGTCCCAACACGGTCTTCTCTTAGGTCTCCCTGCGTTGCTCCCTGCTCTCCCTCCCTCGCCCGCGCCTCCGTGGATGCCTTGTTTCGAGGGCCGGCTGCGCCGTACCCCTCGCTCCTCCTTGTTTTCCCCCACCACTGCACCACTGCAGACCCTACACATGGACGTCTGGGGCCGGTCCTTGGGCCGCATCGCGAGCGCTACTTTCTGGTCCTAGTTGATGACTATAGCACTACACCACGGTGTTTTCCGTGGAGCGGAAGGCCGACGTGCTTGACGTTCGTATCTCGTGGTTCGTAGCTGCACAAGTCCACCGTGGTCTCCTTGTCTTACTTCTCCACTCCGACCGTGGCGGCGAGTTCGCCTCCGGATGGCTTGGCCAGTTCTATCGTGCGGAGGGCATCACCCAGTCGTACACCCTTCCAGACTCTCCATAGCATAATGGGTTCGCTGAGGGACGCATCGGCTTGGTCATGAAGGTGGCTTGTACCTTCATGATCCATGCCGGTGCACCTCATTTTCTGTTGTCGTTCGCTGTTCGCTACACCGCTCACCAGCTTAACATGTGGCCACACTCCCAGCTGCCGCAGGTTTCGCCGATCCTCCTCTGGACCGGATCCCCAGGTGACGCGTCTGCGTTCCACGTCTGGGGCTGCCTCGCTCACGTTCGTGCCTCCGGCACGGACAAGCTCACTGCCCGCACCGTCCCCTGTGTCTTCCTTGGTTTCCCCCTCGATGCGTCTGACTGGCACTTCTACCACCCGCCGTCTCACCGCTTCTTTCACTTGCGTGACGTCACCTTTGACGAGTCTGTCTCCTTCTTCGCCCGCTTTTCCCACCAAGGTCTCGTGGATACCCTGCCCCTGTTCCAGGTCCCAGCTCCCCCGGTAGCCCCTGCTCCTCTCCCTCCCCGTCCTGCCCCGTCTAGTGTGTCTCACGTCACTCCCCTTCCGTCAGTCGTCGCGGTGGAGGAGTCGGCTGACTCTGGTGGCCCTACAGCTCCAAGTTTTCTGCCTGTCTCCGCCCTTGTGTCTCCTCCTTCCCCGCAGTCGCCGCCGTCGAAGCTGCTGCAGCCGCCGTCGCCTCTGTCACTGCCGTAGCAGCAGCCGCCGCCATAGCATCAGCCATCGCCACCGCCACCGCCGCAGGGGGTTTGCAAGCTCTAGGGGTGCGGGCGTTAAGGAGGGTGCTGGAGAGGGTGCTGCCCCTAGGGGTGCTAGTCCTGGGGTTACTGTCGTGGCTCATCTCGGCGGTCCGGGAGGTTGCACAGGTGCTGGAAAGGGTGCTGGTTCTGGGGGTGCTGTCATGGAGAGTTCTGGAGGTCACCGTGGTGTGGAGCAGCAGCGGCCACAGCCACCGCAACTGCCGGAGCAGCAGTCACCGCCGGTGTCCACCCTTCGCCTTCTTGGTCTTCCTTCCCCCGACCGCCCGGCTATTCCTCCTCTTGCACAGCCTCTCCCTCCTGTCTTTGGCCCTGTGTTCCCTCCGCCGGTTTAGTCATCGCGAGGGTGTCGAGTTCTTTCAGACCTTCGCCCCGACCCCGACGATGACCCCTCTTCGGGCACTGCTACATGTAGCAGCACAGCGTGACTACGAGCTACACTCCCTCGACTTCTCTACAGCGTTTTTCACAGGGCAGTCTGCACGAGCAGGTCTACCTGCGTCGTCCGCCATGCTTCACCGGCACCTTCGCCCCTCGGACCGAGTGGCTTCTCAGGCGCCCGGTTTACAGCCTGTGGCAAGCACCCCGCGAGTGGCACGACACGCTGCATGCTATGTTAGCTGACCTGCATTTCTTCCCGTCGTCTGCAGACCCCTGGCTCTTCCTTCGTTCTGTCCAGACCCCGTTCTACATCCTTGTCTAAGTAGATGATCTGGTCTTCGCTACTGCAGACTAAGGCGCACTGACCTCCATGAAGGCTGAACTGCTGAGGAGACACATCTTCAATGATCTTGGAGAGTTGCGCCGCTACTTTGGCCTGCAGATCTCCAGGGACAGAGCAGCGCGCACCATCACTCTTACACAGTCATACTTCGTGCGCCAGGTCCTTAAGAGGTTCGGCCTTCAGTTCTCTTCCGCACAGCCCACACCTCTGCCAGTAGATTACATGCTCTCGGCTCCAGTTCCTGAGGAGTCTATAGAGCCTAGTGGTCCTTATGCAGAGCTGGTGGGCTGCCTCATGTATCTGATGACTTGCACTCGTCCAGATCTCGCATACCCTCTCACCATCCTGGCTCACTTCGTGGCCACAGGCAGATACCGACCACAGCACTGGTTGGCCGCTAAGAGGGTTTTGCATTATCTAGCAAGTACATCGAGCATGGGGCTAGTGCTAGGAGGACGCAGGGCATGTGGTCCTTACAGCGCACACAGACACCTTGTGGGCAGACGACTCTGAGGCACTCAGGAGCTCCCAGGGCTACTGCTTTAGCCTTGGTGCAGGCGTCATCTCGTGGAGGTCCACCCGCTCGTCTTCACTTGCCTAGTCTAGCTGTGAGGCTGAGATCTACGCTGGTGCCATGGCGGCATAGGAGCTCCACTGGCTGGCCTTTTTGCTCACAGACCTAGGTGAGTGGCCTAGCTCTGCCCCAGTCCTGTACGCTGACAACTGGGCCATGATCCTACTTTGTCAGGAGCCTCGACTGGAGGGCAGAGCGAAGCACATCTAGCTGCGGTACTTCCTCCTGCACGAGTTACAACAGCGCCGCCAGGCTCGCGTAGTTCACGTGGCCCCCCGTGCCAACACAGTTGATATCTTTACTAAGGCGCTTGCGCCTAAAGATTATCAGCGGCACTGTATATAGGTAGGTCTAGTTCCCGTAGCTCCTCTCTTGCTAGGTCCTTGATTGTGTACTACTCTTATTATTTTCTCCTGACTGGTTGTGTGGCCCCTGCTCCAGTGGCAGAACTAGTAGTGCCGCCCTGGTTTGCTCTTGTCTTGTTTGTACTCTTCTGACTGGTCTTCGGACCCTTGCCTCAGAGGTTGGACTAGTAGTGCCACCCTGAGTTGCATGTCTCTTCCCAAGCACTACCCCTTGTCTAGCCTAGGGGGTGAGTCAAACATATATGCATACGTTATCATTGGCTAGTTAGGTGTATGTCTTTAGAGACTACAACTAGGTTAAAACTATTATGTACCCTTGTTTCTACTTCATTCCGCTACTCTAAGAGTAAAGATTTTCGCTGACTTCTACTCGGTTCCACCAACTCTAGATTCTGACCACCCTTAATACGTAGTTTACTCCAATATATTCTTATCGTATGAATCCACAGATAATTTGAGAACCCTTCAGTCTTCTCGTATGAGCTCCTTCAGTCCAACTCCGGCCACACATTTTTTATAAGTCAAAAGAGGCTCAATACATTTTTTTTTTCGTTCCTGGAAATTTTATTGTTGATACAAATTCGAAGAGAAAATGAAGACATGAGTATTCAAACAATCAGTGTTGTTGTTAACCTCAACATGCACCTCCTATTTCCTTGTAACTTTGAAGGAATGCAGCCATAGCGAAACCTACGTCCTCTGGAAATTCCCTTGGGATTGGGAACTCAACTGAAATCGCTTGTCCTGCTCAGTTCAGGTTTCGCCCCCAAGCAGCAGCAGCAGGAGCCTAGTTTCGAAGCTCCTGCTGGTTCAGGTGGACTCGCCTTCCCGTTGCCAGACGCTGGCTGTTGAAGCCTCCTAGCGTCTTAGCGCGCGCACTTCATAAACTCGGCGGACGCTGGTCTATCCAGTGCGCACTGTGTACGGTAGCAATGCGGTCTAGGATGACACGGAGCTTTCGCTCGTGCTCGAGCTTTCGCGGGCCTTTTGCTAACGTGCTTCCGCTCGTCACGCTCTTGGTGGCGGCGCTGCTGAGCCACTTCGGAGGATTGGTTCCAGTCGCGAAAGGCCAAACCATCGCCCAATCTCAAGGCATGTCGTTTTGTCGGTTTCCGGGTTCTCCCTTGCATGCCAATGTCAGTCAAATGTCAGTCAATGTTGCTTTCAAGTTCCGCCTTTCACGGAAATCTTAGTCAATGTTGCTTTTTCAGGTTTCACCTTTCACGAGTGTGTTAAATGTTTGCATTCAATGTCGGTTCCAGATTCGAGCTTTAGATAATGCTCATTACTGATTTCAGCTTCCAGCTTTCGCCTTTCAGTACATGGTTGGTCAACGCTGGCTCCGACTTTTTCTCGTGCTCTTCCCAGTGCCCGGATTACTGGACTGTCAGGCCGCAAGGGGAGTGACATTCAGCCAGTGGCAGGGAGGGGGTGATTGTGGCCTGGCGTCTGAAGATCCCTCTTTTCCTCTTCTTGCTCTCCCCAGTGCCCGGATTACTGGACTGTCAGGCGACATGGGGAGTGACATTTAACCAGTGGAAGGAGGGGGGTGACTGTAGCCAGGCAGATGGCATCACATGTGACAACAACGGAATGGTTACCAGCATGTGAGGAAACCCCTTCTTCGCTTTTGGAAATCCGATTTAAGGACCGCACTTGATTCGTTCTTAACCTTCTGGAAGCTGAGAGCCGACCTGAGGACGATCCGATTGGTTTGACCATGTCGGTCCAAAGCATCACACACACATTTTCAATACATGCATCCGTGCAGGGTTCTTGACAACACGGGTCTGTCCGGCTTGTTACCAGCATCTATGGGGTCATTCATCAACCTCTCCTACCTGTAAGCTGTAGGCCCAATTTCTCCTGCGCTTTACCTCTATAAGCAACGCCACCTCATCTGCATGCCACCCACCTCATCTGCATGCCAGAAAATATTATTTTGAAAAACGTACCCTCCGTTGTAATTTCCTCTTGCCTCTGATCTGAACCCCTTGCATCTTCCCTCCACCCCTGTGTACCGTACCACACCCACACCTGCATACCCACAGCCCACCCACCTACATGCAATTCGCTCACTGGTGAACTTTCTCTCAATGTCTCTGATCTGAACCCTTGTGTCT